CATTGGTGAAACCACTATTTAAAAAGAATAAAAATACACTTGAACGTAACTACCGGCCCATTATGCTGGTTCCTATCTTATTCAAAGTGTTAAGAAGGTTATGTATGAAAAACTTACATCGTTTTTTGATAAATTTCATGTACTAAAACACAACCAATATGGATTTCGAAAAAGCAAATCCACTACACATGCGGTATAAAACTTTACATTTGAATGAGACCCTTACACACCTAAACAAACAATATACGACGGCGCTCTTCTTTGATATGTCGAAATCTTTCAATTTTGTTTCGCTTGATCAACTACTAGCAAAGTTAGAGCGCTGCGGCGTTAGAGGCACTGCTATGAACTGGATAGAAGCATACTTGCAAAACAGAATGCAATCAGTCGAAATCACAAAACTTGACTCTAACCATGTAGTGAAAAACTACAAGTATGAGTTTAGAGAAAATAAGTTTAGTGTTCCTCAAGGAAGTATACAGGGACCTCTTCTGTTCCTGATCTATATTAATGATCTCCCAAATGTGACCAAGCATCATGTATCCAATTCGCTGATGATATATCTGTAATAGTGACAACTGATAACAAATTGACATTAAAAGACCACAGAAATGACATTAATGAAACTATAATTCAAATAATTATTTGACTGAGAAATAATTATTTAATTATCAATATATAAAATGAATTTAATTAACTTTAATAATATACAAAATCTGACATTAAATATATAATTATGAAGGACAAATATCTACTTAAATATACAATATTAACGAAATTCTTGGGTATAAAAATTGATCAAAAATTAAATTGAAAACAACAAGTTAAAAAAGTGTGCAACAAAATCAATCGTTTCTCGTTTGCAATTTATAAATTGACAAAAATAGCAGAAAGGAGTACAGCTCTTATTGCGTACTTTGCTTACGTTGAATCAGTCCTGCGATACGGACTCATCATATGGGATAATAGCACGGACATAAAAAAGGTGTTTATTGCACAAAACAAGTGTGTTAGAGCGGTATGTGGTACTGCACCTGACGAGCTTTGTTTAAATCTTTGAAAATTTTGACACTAGTAATATGAATGTATGTAATATGAATTATTTCACACAAGCTAAAGACGTCTACAAACGAAGCACCAGAAATAGGTTGGTTTCCGCTAATTATAGCGGAATTATCCCAAGAGTGCGAGATTACATAAAAATTGCTATTGGATGTGTATGACATTATAAAATAAGATACTACAAGTAATTCGAAACCTACCTTTCATTCAATTCGTAATTAAAAATTAAAAATTTTGTACAACCGAATTCGATATAAATTATTAAGAATAACTCAAAAACTATTGGTCAGACCTTAATCAAATTAATATGGGACCACAAGTGAAGCACCAGCTTTCAAACGAAAAAAAAAGAATCATTGAAATCGGTTCACCCAGGCAAAAGTTGTGAGGTAACACACATAAAAAAAGAAAAAAGAGATTAACATACAATCGAATTGAGTACCTCCTCCTGTTTGAAGTCGGTAGAAACGAGAATTATACAACTTTTTCAGTGAAAATGCTTTTTACACTGTACAAGAATACCTGAACTACGATAGGTAATAGCAGTTTGACAAACGAATTTTCTGGACCAATTATCAAATCTTTATTAAATATTTCCTATTTATGGACTAATTGTTGACATTTTGTAATAGTCACTCTACTCTTAAATACTATTATCCTGATATTTTATACTAGCTGTTCCCCGCGACTTCGTCCGCGTGTTATTTGGAGTTTTAATTTCTTTTTTTGCGCGGAACTCTAAATTTTTTTTCTAAAATAAAAGTAGCCTAGGTTACTCATTGTGATATCAGCTATTTGCCAGTGTGAATCCCATCAAAATCAGTCCAGCCGTTTCAGAGATTAGCCGGAACAAACAGACAGACAGACAGACGGACAGACAGACAGACAAAAACTTTAAAAATGTATTTTTGTTATTAGTACCGTATATACTTTCATATCCATTTAGTAAAAAGCTGTAATTTTGACATTACAAACAGACACTTCAATTTTATTTATTTGTATAGATTTCTAAATATTTGCGTGCTATTAATAATGGCTGATTAAGCGGATGTTTAATTACTATGACCATCTTCAATGTAACTTAACCAAAGCAAATAAAATATGTCATTTCATTTCATTATTCTCTCAGATTTTCGACAAAATAAATACTATTACTAGACTACAAAATAAATAATATTAAAAGCATAGATTAATGATAAGTACGTACTTATCATTAATCTATGATTAAAAGACTAGAAGTAATGACAATAAATGAGCTTTTTTGTTGAAATTTATGAAAATTTCCAAAAATATGTATTAAGTTTTCTCTCCTGATCTGATTTTAATTTAAGCATTTAATTGAATTAAATAAAATGAATTTTCGAAAATGGGCACTACGGTAAAATACAAGAAACATGCTGAAAATTCATTTAGGATGTTGTTGCAATAATAGGAATTACGTGATTATTGTGGTTTATTTCTCAAAAGTAATGTCATAGTAACATTATACCTTAGATTAAGCATTATACTACGAGTACTGACTAATTAGACTATTTCTTATTTAAGATATAAAATTAAATGTACTTTAATAGTTTGATCGTAAGTTTCAAATAGTTTAGTTTGCACGTGGTAGAGCCATGCTGCAGCTATATTTCTGGTATAGTTGTAACACGAATGGGTCGGCTCGACCGGGGAAGGACCACGCTCTTACAGAATACCACCGTAAAATAGCAGTTTAATGCTGCTGTGTTTCGTATGGTGAGTGTAGAGAACCGAAAACCCTTTTTACTGGAAAAGAGGCATTCCATCTAAGTCCTCACGGGTGACAACGCATCTGCATTTTGATTCGTAATCGAGGATAAATGTAGATGTCTATGGGCCACAGCAACCACTTACCATCAGCTGGACTGTATGCTCGTTTTTCACCCTTATCCTATAAAAAAGAAGCAAAGAAATTAGGAAATTATTATAAAAAAAACTTTAAAAAATTATGAGTATAATTATATTAACTTATATTGTAAGACCAGAAAAGGAAAGTATTAATAATTTAGAAGTTGATAGTCATAATTTTATTTTGAGATTGATTTGAATCATTTTAATAAAATTAATAAAAGTCAAGTCTCTTCATCCGCATTATTGTTTGCAGTGTTTGAAATTTTCAATATGCACATTGTAATAACAAGGATTTAAAAATGGATGATAATAGCGTGCGCTCGCTTCACGTTTTTATAAACTCGTAAGATCTATTTGTAAAGCTTTACTGATTTGAATGAACTGATACGATGCTTGTGCAATTCAACCTTCTCCGAATCTATGGGCTCTTATATACACTTCTTTCGTCATCTTCGTCTAGTATTCATCAACAGTGGAGCTTTTTATATAACAAAAAAGTGTTTTCTTGTAAACGCTAACTGTTACTATCTTTTTCACGTCAGCAATTATCAAGATTTACAAGTCTTTTTACGTCATACTTATATCCTTCATTATTTTCTCCCATAGATTGCCTGGGAGGTTAGGATATTTCCCATTGTCGCCACGCTTGGGAGGCGGGTTGGCAATCGGAACTTTATTCTCTTCAGTGATCTCAGTTTAGGGTTAAACTTCACGAATTTCATCATGAAGGGAAGCATAGCCACAATCAAATTCTACTTACCAATGCCTTACGGTGCTCAGATAAGGTGCTTTCATCCCAAAATTATTTTGAAGACGAGCAGCGCAATCTCTAAGTAAGTCCAACTTTGACCCAGAGGCCAATCGACTGCTCTAACTCGGCGTTCTGGAGATTAATTACAACTGTTTACGTGGTGGAGCCATACTGCAGCTATATGATACTCATAGTTGTCGCTCGAATAAGTCGGCTCGACCAGGGAAGGACCACGCTCTCTCAGAATACCAGCGTATTATAGCAGCTCAATGCTGTATTTCGAATGGTGAGTGAAGAGAACCAGAGACCCTTTTGCTGAGAACGAGGCATTCCATCTTATTCCTCAGGTGTAACAATGCATCTGCATTTTGATTCTTAATCGCGGATAGATGTAGATTTCTATGGGTTTCAGCATCCACTTAATATCAGGTGGACTTTGTGCTCGCTTATTTAATATTCTATTAAAAAATCGACTTCTTGCATGCCCTAAAAGGTCACGTATCTCCATCGGTAAGCAAGGCTGCCACTCGACAAACTTTCTTGCGCATCGGTTGTCTGTTCTTCTCTTCTGAATATGTGCTTGTTTGTCACCCTTATTCTATAAAAATAATTAAGAATCGTTTCATGGAATTCAATAAAAGATCTCCTTTTAATTTTTTACTTTATTACGAACAATATAGATTTTTAGTAGGGAAGGGAAGACATTTTTTCCAATTCATTTAAGAAAATTACTTTCATCAACTACAAGTGATGATGATTATCTATATAAATAAAAACAAATGAACAACATATATTTCGAAGACCTTTTAAAAGTTTTTTTATTTGATGTTTAAAGGCCTTTTCATTTAATTTTATGAAAACTGCATTAATATTTGAAACTGATTCTACAAGAACATAAATTTTTAGAATCAAGATATACGATAGTCCATTACAATATGATAATTCAAAGATATCAACAGTGTCTGCAAATAAACTATCTTTTTTAACTACACTCAAACATATTTTATATATACATATCATAAGAAATCTCAACCAAAATAAATTGAATGTGTAATTAAAACGAATTAAACTAATTAAAAAATAACAGCCTTATTTTGATATTGTCTTTTTTGTTAGTAATACGTGCAAAAAACTTTTAACGAATTATTTTATACAATATTCAAGTACCTACCTATACTACAAAACTTGCAATCTAATTTTAGAAAAATAATCAGTACAATTATTTTTGTATCTTTAATTACGTAAATAAATCAACAAACCCATTTTAATTAAAATTCCTCCGTAGACAAGTGTTTATTACTATATCTTGCATATTTTAAGCGCACCATGGAACTTCAGCGTCAAAAACATGTCGCGGCGGATGAAGACTGGGATGCGATGGATGATGAGGTTGCGGGGAGCCGTGCAACAGTTCACACATAAAGCTGATGTAAGTGATCGCTAAACGAAGAGTTTCAATGCGAGAGAGCCGTTTTTCGTAAGCAAATGTTGGCACCTGAAACGTAATTTTTACAATATCTCAACTTTACTTAATGTCTTAAGTTGACATGCTACATAAAAATGTTAAATAAAGTACAGAAAAAATCCTGTTTCATTAACTTAATAACTTTATTGACTGCAAAAGTCTAAATTCTAGGTCCATATTTAGAACTACCGTTCCTACAAATTTTCTAGACCAGAAATCCTCACAAAAGAACACCGATTCCTATCGAAGATAATTCATGAGGCTATTTAAATTAAAAAAACGACCTAATAACGTTAAAGAAGGTAGGTGGATGCTGTTATCTGGTTACAATTATGGCATTAATGAAAATAAATCCAAACCTAATCACGCCACTGCAAGGTTAAAAATAATCGCTTAATCTATGGATTCAGCGAAATCGGGTGTTACAAATCAACTGACACGTCGGAAATTTAAGATAAGTTAGAATAAACGCAATAAAAGCTGTGAAAATTCGTTTTCTCAAAAATGTCGCATCTGGTCGCCTATTAAAGTAAAGAACATATCACTTAAACTTAATATATCATATTTAAATAATAGAATGCAGGCAGATGTTATCAATAGCAGTAGTGCTACATCAATGGTTAGTAGTAGATAACTATAGGTGTTCCTCAAGGCTCAATTCTTGGCCCCTTCCTGTTCTTAGTTTATATTAATGACTGAAAGCAGCACATGCTGTAAAAATATACGAAACCTTGTTTGTGTTGAAACTGCTAAATTTGTTTATTTTAGTTATTTCCTTAATATAAACTCATTTATCATGCATGACGTCATAAAGAGTCATGTTACCAGGTAATGTGACTGATATTGAAATTATTTTATCCTTGTTTTGCAGAAGAAGACGTACATACTTACAGAATAAATAAATAGTTTTAATAAAAAACAGTAATATTCATTCTGTAAATACTAAAAACAAATATAAGCTAATAATACCTGTTATTCGACTCTAAAAAGTCAGTAATTCATTCAAGTAGCTTTATATATACGCTTTTACAGCAGTCCCAAAAAAATGCAGAACTGCTGTTTCAAAAAGTTTAAAATTTTTACTAAGCATAAGTTGTTTAAAAAGGTTTATTATAATATATAATGATTTCTTATATTTACGCGAACACTACACAATCAATAAAACTACTTTTTTTGGAATTTATCGCGTTTAATTAACTTATTTTATATTCCCGACGTTTCGGTTGCTTTCCAGCAACCATTGTCACGGGGGACTGAGGTGACTGACGTCCCAATGTTAGAGTTAACCCAGAGTACCTTCAGCTTTTTAACTATTAATTTTGGTCCGCAAAATGAACTTACTGTGTCTTGAAGTCTTGCAGTAGTATGCTTGGGTTTAGTTTTAATTTTATGAATTATAGGATCCCAAGCAGGTAGTACCCAGCCTCCCTCTCTATTGAAATTAGGATGTTTTTAAATTTCAATAGCCTCACATATCATAGTTGGCAGGAATCGATGTTCTTTCGCAAGAATTTGTGGTTTATCAAATCTAATGTAATGGCGGGGGCCGTCTAGTATATGATCACAAACTGCAGACTTCCCGGAACGTTGGTGCTTCACATCAGCTATATGTTCTATTGTGTGTATAATATATAATATTATATTATAAAATAATACATGATCGATAGTATCCCCTGTGAATTAGATAATTGCTACCATACTGTTCCTAAATATTTTCATATTTAATTGTACATCATATTATATTGTAAATTCATATTTAAAAAATATAGGACGGAAGTTTTTTACGAACCAGCAGTACATATTTTTTGGAAGTAAAGGTTCGAAATGAGTTGAGGGGTGACTCGAACTTTGGGCCCAGTCAGTTTGAATAGCCTATCATGTAGAGGATGTCATGGGGGTCATGGTTGAATAGGGGCAAAAAGTTCTCATTACGGTCCTAGGGGATAAAAATGGGCAAAAACCAAAAAATTATGGGATGGCTCAAACTTTAGGCATATTCAGTTTGAATAGCCTATCATGTGGAGAACGTCATGGGGGTAATGGTTGAATAGGGGCCAAAAGTTCTCATTACACTCCTAGGGGGTCAAAATGGCCAAAAACCAAAAAATTAAAAATTCTTATTTCGGCTATAACTCCGCCTCCTTCGGATGTTCTTACACAGTCTTTACTTCCCGCATCCCACTTGTTCAGTGAGTATTCTTGTAATCTACTGGATTGAATAAAAAATATTCTATTCTTTTCTATTTAGGTATTTTGCGTCTGGCTTGTTTTTTTATAGAAATAAGCGTGATAAACGAGCACACAGTCCACGTGATAGTAAGTGAAAGCAGTGGCCCATAAACACCTACATGTATCCCCAAATAAGACTTAAAATGCAGACGTGTTATCTCGAGGAAAAAGGTTCTTCGGTTCTCATCACACATCACACGAAACAAAGAAGCATTATGCTGCTATTTGACGCTGATATTCTGTGCGAGTGGTCTTCAGCCATAATATACTCCAACGCTCTATCACGTATCTTATACGGTTTTACGGTCTATCTTTTGTAGACTTATTTTTGGCATTGTCACCTTAATGGAATAGGGTAATTGTTTAGAGTATTAATTCATTAGTTGCGGCACAATAAAATTATTTAATATTTTAAAACGAATTTTTAAAGAAAGCAGACACTGATCCATACATTTATAAAGAAGAAGAGAGAAATTGTTGCCCATGCAATAAAGTTCTAAAAATTAATTTATATCAAAGACATAATCTGGGAGACCGGAGCTGTAACAGTGCAATGAAAAGTTATTTAATATTACATATTATATGAATAAAATTTTTAAAACTTCCAGATTATGCCTTCACGAACTTTACATACAAGTATAATATTGTTGGGAATGAGGGTAAAAAAATAAAAGGAAATACGAACAAATGAAGGTTGATAATCTCCTTAATGATGTCGAGAGTTGCGGCCGAGTCCTGGACACGGCAAGCGTTTACTAGACGCTAACCAGCATCGACAAGATGCTTATAGCAACGAGGGTCGTTGGCAGCCACGAACTTTCATCGTCTGTGATTTTTTGTTCAATTCGTCGTAATCTAAGGGAAAGCTTAGCCACGAACATTCATCGTCTGTGATTTTTTGTTCGATTCGTCGTAATCTAAGGGAAAGCTTAATGGCGCGGCAAATAGACGTCTGACGCTTGCTCAACTTTCGTTGCGAGTGGTGAGCCATGTCACGCGGATATCTATCTGACCGAGACCACTTAATGGCGATTGCAATTTTTGTGGTCGTTTGCAGTGTATTATATTTTGTACAGTTGCCTTGCCTTTTTTGTTTTTGCAATGTGTGAGATTTTCACACAGTTGCTTTTTATATTTGCAATGTGTGTAGTGGCCTACGCCTCTGCATGCAGTTGCCTTTTGCAATGCGGAGATCTTGTACAGTTGCCTCCTTCCCTTTGGAATATATGGTGAGATCAGTCTAACCACATAGTTGCCGTTATTGCAATATTGCAATGGTTTGTGAGTGACATGTCACACAGTTGCAGTTTCTTAAGAGAATATGTGGTGAACTTTGCAAGCCCCGAATTCGCAATACATTTATCTTCATTTCGTTTAATTTTTAGTTTTGCAAAGCAGTTTATTTATTTGTTTCAATGACCTGAAACGTTCTTAAATTACTTTGGGTACCTATATTGCGAGACCTGTATTGGATTTACTTAAGTGCACGCTTGTGCATTTGACGTAGTTGTTTCCATGTCTTTTGCTTTTACCGTGGTGTACCCTAAATTTTACATTAAAACTACTTAATAGTGAAATAAAATATTTAAAAGGTTTTAGGTGTAGTAGTGAACGCTAACTTTGTGCTTTGCCTATGTCAACAGTCACTGGGAGCCACTGGAAGGTATGCAAACTTGGAGCCTATGCCTACAGTGTTGAGGTCTGGACAGCTCGCTGACGCTGGTGCGGCCCTGCGGCTTGCTGGCACTGGTGCGGCACTACGGCTCGCTGGCACTGGTGTAGCGCAGCGGCTCGCTGGGGCTGGTGCGGTGAAACAACTCGTTGACGCGAATGCAGCGTAACCGCTCGCAGGAGCGCGTTTAGCTAGGTGCCCTGTGTCTTCAGTGTAGTACGATCTGTGCCGTGTGCGCAGTGTTTCTTTGAGAATGGGTCGGCTCGACCAGGGAAGGACCACGCTCTCAAAGAATACCAGCGTAAAAAAGCAGCTTAACACTGCTGTGTTTCGTATGGTGAGTGTTGAGAACCGGATACCCTTTTTACGGGAATAGAGGCATTCCATCTTAGTCCTCACGGGTGACAACGCATCTGCAAATTGATTCTTTATTGAGTATAGATACACATGTCTATGGGTCACAGCAGCCACTAACCATTAGGTGGGCTGTGTGTATAAAAAAAAGAAAAAGAGAAGATTGTGTTATTTGTGACGTGAGTTAAACTCTTGTAGGAAGCATTGTACCTATACTAAAATCTGATTTGGACGATGTTTTCAATTCTCTAAAAGCTTAGTCTGTATGAAATGTATTCAAGAGGTCACACATTGTGTGCTGTTGAATAAATATTGGTAAAGATTTGAAAACAAGAGTTTATCGTTTCATGGTTGGAAAGTGCCGAGGTGGGAAAGTTACATTAAGCCTGTAACGTTACGTAGAGGTGTGTGATTGTCTAATGCTTACTTTGAGGGTGAGTAATTACGTATGTGTCAGAAATAGCTAACGTAGTGCTTCCTTTCTGAAAGAGTAATATTGAGATACGCTAACGTAGTGCCTCTTTCTCAAAAGTAGAAGGCGGACAAGCTAACGTCGTGTCTCTGTCGCGTCTAGCTTAAGTTATGCTAAAGTTGTGCCTATGACTTAATTAGTTATTATTTTGTTAATTTATGCTAACGTAGTGCCTATGACTTAATCAGGTATTTTAACCGACTTCAAAAAAGGAGAGTTTCTAAATTCGACTGTGTTTTATGTGTTACCTCAGAACTTTTTCTTGGTGAGCCGATTTTGATAATTCTTTTTTTTTTTGTTTGAAACCTTCTTCTTTTGAAAGTCTCTTACGGCATCCATAAGATGATATGGATATTCATGCACCGCGACTACAAGGTAATTGATAATTTCTGAAAACATTTTATTTATCGACAAGATCTTGCAATTGTCATTTCTCTAGCACTCACTTGACCTTCATACAAATAGTTCAATATTTTAATTATTGATAACTTTTTTATTTTAAGGTTAACATAGTAAAATTAATTGGCAAAATGACTCTATTATTTTACATTTATCTAAAAAAAATATTACCATAACTCTGACTAAGTTAGTCCAATAAAATGTCGGGGCCTGAGTGGTTAAATATGTTGCTTGTATCTACATTCTTAATATGTTTGTCATTATTGTAGCCACAGGTATATTAATCGAAAATGGCACGGATCATAGTTGCTCCGCTTCGTTAATTATTTTAATATACAAAACAGATACACTAAATAAAATAGAGCTAAATATGATTTTTAGACATATGTATATAATTTATATAAATATATGTTAAATGAAACCAATTTTATAGATTTTATCGCGATTAATATGACTTTTTAATTCCCGACGTTTCGGGCGCTTTACAGCACCCGCAGCCATTCACGGGGTGGACTGAGGTAATTAACGTCCCGATGTCATAGTTAGCCCGGCTACATTCAGCTTTTGAATATTAATTTTGGTCCGATCTACGGAGGACGAGCTTGAGAATTGTTTGTATTGCAAGTTGTAACTTTTAAAAGAGTAGACCGCGGCTAGCACGCCGCGGACTAGGAGTAAAAGAATCCGAAAAATACTCACTTTTAGGAGATTATTGTACTAAAATTTTCAGCACCATGTTTAGAAGAACATTAATTTATTGGTTGCGGCACAATATGACTATTTAGTATTTAAAAATAAATTTTTAATGAAGGCAGACACTGACCTATATTTTTATATAGGAAGAAGAGAGAAATAGTTGCCAGTGCAATAAAGTTCAAAAAATTAATTTATGTCATAGATAGTAATAAAGTATTTTTCGCCACTACCTTACAACCAATTTCAATACTACTATTACAAACAAACCTTTCGTCTCAGCTTATCAAAAGCCTCATTTAGGTTGAACATGCGGCGTCGCTCGCGGATGTTCGCAGCGCGTCTCTGTGCCACAGAGGCAACTCGACGCCGAGGCTTCTTCCCGCCGGGTGTAGATCGAGCCCCGCCACGTCCACCGCACCCGGCCGCCGACCACACTAAAAATAAATAACAACTCATAAATGAAATTTATAATAATCACTGTCAATCTCTTTTTCCTTTTTTTTACACGAGAAAATTAATACGTCTACCCACCTCGCGCGGTATTCAAGGTATTCCACTCAATATGTCAAACACTTAATAGTCAGTGGGCAAACAGTGACACAGAGTCGAGATTGTCTCCAAAGAAATATACTTAACATACAAACCTAAGATTAATTACGGTTGAATTTCCACCACTAGGCGACTACTACACCACTAATATATTTTAATGTATTTGTGACACATATTAGGTATGTCGATGCGTCTATCTAATACCAGTTGGATCGAGAGTAAGCGATATGTTGCGTCAATCTTGCGGAGCTTCATATCTATGGCGGCAAGGTAAAATTGAGAGTATATCGAGAAACCCCCTACTCGTTTGTGCAGTATAATGTTCACTGTAAACGCCGTGCGCGAGGGATTCCGCTCAAGTCATTCTACGAGTGCTAAGATAGTGTCGTAGTTCTGTCGGTTGCGGTGGTTATTCTCGTGCAGCCAAGGAGGATGATGAAGAAGTTTTCTTCCGCCAATCATCAGATGGTATGGATGGTATCGCGAGTTTTGTCGTGATGTGCGATAGTGAAATTGAGCGGCTGGGATTAGTCCGAACAATTCCTCAGAGCACTCCCCGTGATACATGTGATAAAATACGCAAAGAGATGCAACATCTCTACGCAATACCAGTGAGTCAAGCCGATCGGAAAGAACTCGGTCGTCGACAATTCGAACCGCTCTGCGCTGGATGCGGTCAAGTGAAAGGAGATGCAAGGAGATCAAGCACTGGGGAGTCCCTGTCTAGAGATGGGATGGAGAAGGCCGAACCTGCGCCTTGTAAAGTTGCAAGCTATGTGCCGGCATGAAATTCTGTCCCGCTCTGCTGAGCACGCCAAGTATTTTAGAGGCCAATTTGGCCTTCTCTTCCAAGTGACCACGAAACTGCACGTCACTCGATATGTCGACGCCGAGGATTCCGATACTGGCTGAGGCAACAAGGGGAGTGCCTTGAAACTGAGGAGATACGACAAAGTGGTTCTTTTTAGCGGTAAACGCGCAAACTTGTGTCTTCTGGGCACTCGGCGATGTTTTCCCGAGAAATATTGGCACGGCCACTATATAAGGCATCACCAGTGCTGTCGTCTCCATAGCAATGAATGTTACCAGTTTGCAACATATCATTGATATGCAGAAGAAACAGCGTTGGTGATAGCACGCACCCTTGTGGAACACCAGCGTCAATGGGCTTGTAATCGGAGCATGCACCGTCTACTACGAACTTGATGCTCCGATCTACAAGAAAACTGGTGATCCAATTGCACGATTTCTCGGAAAGTCCATAGGAAGGAAGCTTCGTAAGAAGAGCTTTGTCAAATCAAAGGTCTTCACTATGTCCAAACTAACCGCCAACGCCTCCCCCTTGGACTCCACTGCTTCCGCCCATCTATGAGTTAGAAAAGGAAAGCCCAGCAGATCGGCTTTCTCCTTTGAGTCAAGGGCCAATGAGTCATCCACCCTGTGCATAGATGGCAGAGTTGGCTGACAGATGTTCCCTTGGACAGCCTTGGCGAGACACCAGAATGCACGTGTTCCCGAAGGGAGGTGAACTAGTTTCTCGCCAATTCTGCCGATGTGCTCTGACTTTGCCTTGGCAAGGACACTTTTGAAGGATCTGGAGGCAGAATTATACTTCTTTTTAAGAGCGCCGTTATTTACATTCCGAGACGTTGATGCGTCAGCCCAGGCCCGGTAGCACTCCTGCTTATAGCGTGATACAATTTTATAGGAGCGACCAATCCATGACTGAGTTCTGCCTACGATAGGCACCACAGATAATGGAATAAATAATTCCATTTCCTGAAGTACCACATCAGCGTCAGAATCAGCAAAAACCTTGGGATCATCCAGCGAGAAGCAAATCTGCCGCCAAGGGTAGGATGCAAAAAAAGACCGCAACCCGTCCCAATCGGCCGACCTATAGTACCAAACCCAGCAGTAAGCCCCAGATCGCAACTGCGATGGGAGCGTGAGTGGCACCATACACCGGATCAGACAATGGTCCGAAGAGCCAAGAGCGGCATCGACGGAGACCTAATATCCGTCCGGATGAGAGGTCAGCAGAAGGTCCAACAGGGAAGGTACATGATCCCCCAAATCTGGGAACCGCGTAGGCGAAGTAACCAGTTGTCTCAGACCATATGCCAAAGCAAAGTCATAAACAGATCTCATACCCGTATGATCGGTTGAACTATGACATCGGGACGTTAATTACCTCAGTCCACCCCGTGAATGGTTACGGGTGCTGTAAAGCGCCCGAAACGTCGGGAATTAAAAAGTCATATTAAACGCGATAAAATCTATAAAATTGGTTTCATTTAATATATATTTATATAAATTATAGACATATGTATAAAAATCATATTTAGGTCTATTTTATTCAGTGTATCTGTTTTCTATATTAAAATAATTAACGAAGCGGAGCAACTATGATGCGTGCCGTAGTCGCCATTTTCATTTTAAGAATTTTTCACATTTCATTAACATATTAAGAATCTAGATACAAGCAACATATTTAACCACTCAGGCCCCGACATTTTATTGGACGAACTTAGTCAGTTATGGTAATATTTTTTTTTAGATAAATGTAAAAACATAGAGTCATTTTGCCAATTAATTTTACTATGTTAATCTTAAAATAAAAAAAGTTATCAATAATTAAAATATTGAACTATTTGTATGAAGGTCAAGTGAGTGCTAGAGAAACGACAATTGTAAGATCTTGTCGATAAATAAAATGTTTTCAGAAATTATCAATTACCTTGTAGTCGCGGTGCATGAATATCCATATCATCTTAGGATGCCGCAAGAGACTTTCAAAAGAAGAAGGTTTCAAACAAAAAAAAATGAATTATCAAAATCGGCTCACCAAGAAAAAAGTTCTGAGGTAACACATAAAACACAGTCGAATTTAGAAACTCTCCTTTTTTGAAGTGGTTAAAATACCTGATTAAGTCATAGGCACTACGTTAGCATAAATTAACAAAATAATAACTAATTAAGTCATAGGCACGACGATAGCATAACTTAAGCTAGACGCGACAGAGGCACGACGTTAGCTTGTCCGCCTTTTACTTTTGGTAAAAGAGGCACTACGTTAGCGTATCTCAATATTACTCTTTCAGAAAGGAAGCACGACGTTAGGTATTTCTGACACCCTCAAAGTAAGCATAAGGCAATCACACACCTCTACGTAACGTTACAGGCTTTCGAGAAATTCCAGACTCGGCTGACATGGTGATGTTTGTTGTTCAATAAATAACTGAACTATGAGTGATTACTTTTATAATGCTACTGAGTGTTGCAACTAGTGACATGAGTAACAAGCTAATTACTCATCGTTAAGTACTCTAGGCCGCTAACTTTTCACCTGGACTGGTAATCACGCTTTTGGAAACCACGCCAGTTTTAAGCAATACTTCTGTGAAAAATGGTGTACGCGAGAGAATTAAGAACAGAAAAAATCTTCTTTTCAAATTTCCGGCGAGTTGTAAGTAGAAGGCCAAATAGGCCATGTGCCAATTTAATTAAATATATTTCATTTCATCATTAATAAAAATGAGAACAGCAATTTTAAAATTGTGTTTACAAGAAACACTATCAGTTGAACCGTGCAGCTTGTTCATTATTTTTATTATAAATACCTATAAATGTATATATTATTAATAAATTATTCCCATAATATTTTGTATTATTCTTTATTTTGCCCTATCTGAAACGTTCTAAACTCTATAGAAAATGTGGTGTATGATTTCATACGCCACATTTTCTACAACTGACAACCACTAGAACATTTTTACCTAGGTACAAAGATGTTTAACGTTTTCGTGGCCTCCACATGATATTTTTCTCAGCATTAGGTACCTTTCTGTATCTGAAACGAATATGAATATTGCATTTGTATACGATACAAAAGTAAAGTAACAGGCTATATAAGTCCCTCTGCTGGGCACAGGACTCTACTTATTTCTGAGAGGGTTTTAGGGCAAGGATTGTCCGCCACGCTGCCCCAATGCGTGTTGGCGAACTTCACATGTCTTCCAATTTTTTTTCTTATTCCTCAGACATGCAGGTTACCTCACAATGTTTCCCTTCACCACGGAGCACGTGCTAAGTCAGCACTTAAAATTTCAATTAAAAATTTAATTGCTGCTGCCGGAGGTTAAAACCGAGTGAAATTTACAGCGAGCACTTAGACCCAGAGCTACGAAAACAGCACAAATAAATACGATTCAACAAATGTTTAACAGTGGTAGAGCCACGCGGCAGCTTTTGCTGTCGCACGGATGGGCCGGCTCGAACCGGGGTGGTACCACGACCTCACAGAAAACCAGCCTGAAGTAGAGGTTTACCTCTGCGTTTCGCTTGGTGAGTGCAGGTGGCCGGAGGCCCTTTTTACTGGAAATGATGCATTCCATCTTAGTCCTCACGGGTGACAACGCATCTACATTTTGATTTGTAACAGAGGATAGATGTAGATGTCTATGGGTCGCAGCAACCACTTACCATCAGGTGGACTGTGTGCTCGTTTGTCAACCTTATTCTACAAAAAAAATGTAATAAAAATTCTTACGTACTTAAAACTTAAACCCTTGATAGCTCGTGATGACTACTAGACGAAGGTACAGCACTACACCGTGTAATGTTATTCAAGATACTTAACCGCAACGTACCTCTCAGTGATGCGCAAACATAGTAGGCAATATATCACTTCTATACTTGTCACCTCTGCAGTCTATTAATGTTTGCACTTTTCTAAGTAATACAGAAAGTAGTCGCTAGACGGTGTTTAAGTCGGCTAAAATCTCTACGGTCGCCGTTTCGTCAAGGTCATTCAGGCTTCTTAAAGCCTTAAAAATGGGTACAAAGTTTCCCTTCACGTATTAATATTAATATAAAAATAAATAAATAGATGATTTAAAACGTTAAAAAGGAATTAAAGGTCGACACCGAATATCGATACTTTGTAGTTTACGGATTTTTTCATATAATAAGTTGATCTGCTTTGATGCCAGTTTTCATTGAGTGGGTCGATTAGTCAGTGAGTGATAAAAATGTACTTTAAAAATGTGGACTAAATTATTACACTTACTACACACCTACTAAAACAAAAGAGATTTGATTATTCATGCTCTATAAATGACAAATTGTGTAAAACCTTACCGAGGTCGGCGGGTGGGAAGGCCAGGATGTCTGGATAAGGCACTGAGGCCTGCGGCGTGTCCCACAACGGTCCGTAAGGTGACACCTCGCTACCCTGAAACATTCATTTATTATGGGTATGCCGATATTTTAAGCATATTTACATAAGTCAACCATTTGTTAGTATCACTCATCGATCATTAATAAATAACTAGATACAAAATCCCATACAAAAGTTTGCTAAAAACTTTCGCCAATTATTGTTCTGATGTAATTCTAGTTGAAATAAATATACATCAATGTAAATTCAACCTTAAATGCATTGTCTAAAGTTGTATTCATAAAGCTACGTACAAATTAAAAGCGCACCCAAATGTTCGAGTGGGCGCTCATTCGGTAAGGACATTTTTTGTCACTGATTGTGTATCTAGTTTTTTTTATTAGTTAGTTTTTTTATTATCGATGGTATCACTATACTTTCTAGCGGCACATCAGGTATCGCTCCTCGTCTTTAATCTCTTACAGTTTAGGTGCTGTTAGAGGCGGCTAGTAAGATTTAATGACGTCCGTCAGATGGTGGTATACAACCTCAAATATGTTACTTGGTACTACACAGACTGGATTGTTACAGGCTAATAATAAAAAGAACAAGAAATAAAATAATTATTTTGAGTTGCGTATGATATACGGAACAGAAAATAGCCTAAGTTTGTCGTTGTGAAATAAGTTTATATATAGTCTATTTTCTACTGAATGCTTCATGATTTTTCAGATTTCCATAAGTCGTCTCAAACGATAGAATATTTTTTTCATACGTCGCTCCAACGTTGCAAAACCTCCATCTCTTGGAAAACCTCAGAGGGACACTGAAACTGGATCCGGACTGTATTTTTTAATTGATTTAATTTAACAAACAAATGAAATTAAACATAATATTTATGTTTTAATTTCATTTGTTTGTGTTGTATTTTATTGTAATATTATATGCTATGTTTCTAAAATTAAAAGTTGAATTTAAATATATTAATATCATGTGGAATATCAAATACAATCAAACCGAAAATCTATATCAGATGTTTTGCTTTAAACAATAGTATGAATACGAATTAAAGCGATAATTGGTTAATAACTTTCAAGGGCGATATGTTATGTCAACTTCAAGTGTGGATTTTTCAGACAAGATCCTGTACTTTTTGTTGAACCAGTTGAATCGGAGCGGCAGGCGAAAGTTATCAGCTTTCATATGGTTGCTATCATATACATGAAATTATAATCTATCTTATACTCGTAATATCACATACAAATAAAATTAAAGTGTCTGTCCGTAATAGCGCAATAAATGCATTTTATTGAGTGCAGTGGTTTATTTGGATGCTATTAAGACATGAATAAGCATTTTTTTACTTGTGTGTCTGTTAGTCTGTCTGTATGTCTGTCTATCCGGGCTAATCTTAGGAAATAGTTGAACAGATTGTAATCGAACTTCACGAAAAGATAGAGAGTAATGCCAGAAGTGATCTATGCTATGTTTTATCTGAAAGCTAGAAGATTTTTTTGAGACTTCGACATTTTTTCTATGAGCAAATGTCAAGAAAAATAAACACCAACAGTGTGTATTATCTAGCTCTGGAATAAAATTCTATCCAATTTTCCCCACGTCTGTTACGTAACTACCTATTATCAGAAACTGGAGAGGTGTGAGTAGGTCTTGTGCTCCGACGGTTCCGTATAAACTATATCCGTTTTATTACATTCCCTAAAATCTACATACATAGTTATATAAATTTCAAGTAAGGTAAACTATATGGCTAGACCATTGCCTCTTCAGCTTACTGATTCACTGGGTTATGTCAGTTACTCTTTTATATTCTCTCTCGGATTTCATCGCGTAGAGAAATTTCGAGCATCACCCTATTCCCATATATCTTGACAACCGATGGGAAAAAACGTTCTCGAGTACAGTACTGGCAAGCGCAGTTTTGGGCAATTCCCCATTGGATGGAGTGACAACCTGATGAAACACGCAGGTATTCGATGGATGTCGGTCCGTACTATGTGACATTCTATGGCTGTCGACTTGTGATGGACTATAGTGATAGTGACAGTGAAGACCCTAAATATTTCTCTAACGAAAATAAAAGTCGGATTGCAGAACTTAACTTTGCAGTGCAGAAAATGTTCAATCAATATACACTATATATATAGGCCTAATCAAAGTAATCAACCATGTAATCGATGTGCATCTTTGCCAACGCAGTTGCAGTTTATTGATTGATGCAGTTGCCCTTCTTGAAGAAATCAGCTGAACGAGAGGCAACAAATTCTTCAAAAGCATTTTGTACTGCCTTCCGGCCAAAAAGTTATCCAAATTCTGGAAAAAGTAAAAATCTGGAGGCGCAAGATCTGGTGAGTACGGCGGATGACTTAGAGCTTCCAACGCCAGCTCTTCTAATTTGGAGACCGTCTGTTGTGCAGTATGAGGTCACTCTTTGTCGTGCAGGAGCAGCGGGGACGAACGATTGACCAAAGCTGCTTGGAGACGTGCGAGCTTCTCCATCAATGTGTTCAGTTCTTCACAGTACACATCTGCAGTAATGCTCATCCCGTTTGGTAAGAAGCTGTGATGAATCAATCACACCGGTGCTCGACCATCAAATAGTGACCATCCCTTTTCTAGGCCATTATTTAGGTGCTGAATCAGGATCCAACCAACTTGCTGAGCACTTGCGATTTTTAAAACAGAATCCATTTTTCGTCACAGGTAGCAACGCGGTTCAAAATTCCTTCGTTTGTGTGGCTGTTGAGCAGCGCAAGCACGTCTAGACGCGTAATTCACGCAAAGAACTCAATGATCGCGAGTTCTTGGGGCACCCATTTGTCAAGATTTTTTAACTTGCCAATTTGACGCAAATAGACCAATATTGTTCTGATGCTAACTTCGAAAGCTGCTGTTAATTCAGTCAGAGATTGAGTATCATCAGCTTCCACGATCGCCTTTAATTCGTCATTGTCGACCAAAGTTTTCGGACGACCACGGGATTCATTTTTCAGGTCGAAATTTCCAAAACGAAATCGGACAAACCAATAATACAGGTGGTGTTATGTTTTTTTTTTGTTATTTTTTTTGTTATTTTTAAAAAAAAACGTTACCCCCACACTAGGATTTTCTCCTGTGTCGTGGAGGCAGTTTACAAACATAAATTGCACAAGGACAAACATCCAGACCCGGAGCAATTATTTGTAGGCCATACAAATACTTGTTCCGTGCGGGATTCGAACCCGCGGCCCCCAGCGCAACAACTGATTGCTAAGCCACTGCGCCACGGAGCCGTCTGTGTGTTAGTTTGTAGTATTTGCTTCGTAAACGTTGTTGATGTTGCTTATGCCGCGTTGCTACCACGACGGTACTCATATTCGATAATTACTCGAATTTTTAACGTATCCATGACGACGAAAAAGATCAAATGCGATACAAACATAACGCTAATCTATAAACAAATGACTAATTTAAAAAAATATAAACATACATATTCGTCAGTCAGTCGAAGACATACATATTTCTAATGGCTTTATTTATCAGGCAATATCCATCACTATTTAAATGAGAGATTTCGAGATATTTTTTTATAGGAGAGGGGGCAAACGAGCATACAGCTCACCTGATGGTAAGTGACTGCTGCCGCCCACGAACAACTGCAACACCAGGGGAATTGCAGGTGCGTTGCCGGCCTTTTAAAAAGGTGTAGGCTCTTTTCTTGAAGGTCCCTAAGTCGTATCGGTACGGGAAAATAGCCGGTGGTGAATTATTCCACAGAGTGGTCGTACTCCGAAGAAAACTCCTAGTGAAACGTATAGTCTTGGACCGCCAAGCATCCAGATGGTGTGGATAGGTATCGGGAGTTTAGCCGCGATGTGAAATTTGGCGACTGGGATTAACCCGAACAATTCCTTAGGGCACTCCTCGTGGTAAATGTGAAAGAAAATTCAAAGAAATGCAATATCTCTTCGCAGCGCCAGTGAATCAAGCCGATCGCATAGGACACGGTTATCGACGACTCGAGCCGCTCTGCGCTAGATGCGATCAACTGGAAGGAACTGGCACTGGGGAGCCCCAGCCCAGAGATTATAACAGTATTCCATGTGAGGCCGAACCTGCGCCTTATAAAGTTGCAGGCGTTGTGTCGGCATGAAATACTGTCCCGCTCTTCTGAGCACGCCAAGCTTTTTAGAGGCCAATTTGGCCTTCTCTTCCAAGTGACCACGAAACTGCACGTTACTCGATATGTCGACGCCGAGGATTCCGATACCGGCTGAGGCAACAAGTGGAGTACCTTGAAACTGAGGAGATACGAAAAAGGGGTTCTTTTTAGCAGTCAACGCGCAAACTTTTGCCTACTGAGGATTAAACTGAACTTATTTCTTATATATATAATAACCTTGGTAGAAAATATAAAACTAACCCTAAAACTAAACCCTGTATGAGAAAAGTGTGTTTGCTATGGCTCCAAAGATATACAATAAGATCCCGATCCGATCTGTAGTTCTTCAAGAGAGCGTTGTCGCCTTTCTTGAAGAACAAGACCACCGCACTTCTGCTCCACGCCTCCGGAGTAATCCCACTATGGAGGACGGAATTAAAGAGCTTCTGAAGGACTTTTAGTACCTATCGGTTTTCCACCCACTTTCAGAAGCTCCGCTGTAATTCCATCCTCGCCCGGGAACTTGCCGTTTTTAATGCCATTTTAACCTCGCTCAGACTAGTGAATAGTGTGTCGGCTAAGACTTGCTCTTGGATCGTTACTCACACTTGCGTGTGGCTCCAACGATGACGTGTACAGTTGCCCATAGAACCTCTCAGTCTCCTATAAATAAAATAAAATCAAAAATCAAGCTGTTGGCCCCTTGGGTTGCCCTATTCCAAATTTCCCTACCTTCAGCTCACCGTTCCCTCTTGTGCCTAGTTTTGCATTGAAGTCTCCCATTAACACCGTATAGTAGGTTTTGGGGGAATGCATAGCTCTAGATATGTTTTCATACATTTCCTCCACCGCCTCACCGGGATGTGCCGAGGTTGGTGCTTAAACCTGTATGACCTTCAACGAATACCGTTTGGTGATTCTGAGTATAAGGTACGCAATCCTCGTCGACTCACTCACAACCCTTATAACATTGTAAATCCGACACCTCCTTGGAACAGATGGTCGCCCTCCCGGTGATAGAACAAGTTGCCGGATTCAAGGATTACCGTGTCCTCCCCCTCTCTTCGGACCTCAGACAATCCTATAATATCTCAGTCAAACTTGTCTATCTTTTCTTCCAGCTCCAGGATCTTCTCGTCAGTCATTAAGGTGCGTGCTTTGTATGTTGTCAGGTCTAGCCGTCTTAGGTGACAAACGAACCTCCACCGGAGATTCTAAGCACCCCCTGCCCCGCCGTTACCATTGTCGCCACCATAGCCAGGACTAGCGTAGCCGCCGGGGACTGGGGCCCGTTTCCCGTTTTTTATTGTAATATTGTTGTCATCAGGAAGCCACTGCTACCCATCTCCTGCCTGTTTCCCACTGTCGCCTCTTAAGACACCCACGGGAAGATATAGGGTGGTTGATATTCTTAACCGCTTCTACACGGCTATGCAAGGCAAGGTAAACATTTTTTCACACATATATATATATATATATATATATATATATTATTATAGTTGAATTGATGACATTTCAAGTATTATTTAAAGTTCAGATATAAATAACTTTGGCAATTCAGATTCTAAACGGATAACTCCTATGATTGAAGTTAAACGTTAGCTATCAAATGGATTATAATTCTTTGGTGTGTAAGACTCGGGTGCTATGAAAGTACCTATAATAAGAAATTAACTCATGGGAACGGTCACTGTCTAAGTCAGCAATCTTTAAAGATTGCTCCTGATTTTCAAGATCTGGTTGGCAGGTAGGCAATGGTAGATGTTCGCGCCGCTTTCGTCTTAGCGTTTTAAGTATTTATTATTTAAGTAAGATGTAATGTAACTCGTATAGCAATTATTACGTGTAGGTACGTTTGATTTGTTAGGCTAAGTAATAGTACTAAGTTTCACCGTAATTGTTTACGTTTAAGGTCCATATTTCTTTCTAATAAATCCATTTGTACTTCTACCAATGGCATATCGTTACGTTTGCATACGTAATACTGGCAATAGCCAACGACTGTTCAATTGAATTATTCAATGTACCTTTACCTTCTGGCCTCTTAATCTGTTAGCACGTCCTATTTAATATTTTTAAGATAATTATGTACAAGTTAAATAGTACATTAAAATAGATTACTGAGACTCCTTCGAAGTTTCATTTCTTTGTACCATATTGTACAGTAGATTTTTCATAGATTCACGCACACAAACCTGAATTGAATCAGTCTGACTTATATTCACATGATGCGTTTATTTTTTTTATATCATGTGCAGTGAAATTAAAATACCTATATCTAAGTATAAATGAAAATGCTTGAACATGCAATTCAAAACATTGACTTTAACCTAGTTTATAAAACCGATGACGTAAAAATTTCTTTGCCTTACTTAGTAAATAATGTACGAAATGCCATCGTTATCAATATTTCGTTACCACGGTAGTTAAAAAAAATTACTTAAAGCCTTGGATTACACCTGCTTTAATGAATGAAACATAGGGACAAACTATAAACAATATAACAATTTATTAAAAAAAGTTGAAGTATAATTATCATACAAACTTACTGGAAGAGTTTCTGGTAGAGATAATAAAAACATTTGGCGGCATGTAAAAGATATTGCATTTATATCCAAACAGCATGAATCTTCATGAGAATTAATACAAAATAAATTCTCGCCACTTATATCAGCAAATACAGCAAATAATTACTTTATAAACGTCTTGTGTGACAATCTTGCTGAGCAAATAACAAACAATTCTAACAATAATCATGAATACAGGGCCTCTTTCTCAACTCCAATAAGAATAAATTTTGTACTTATATAGTTTGTACAACCATTAATGTAAAATTTGCTTTTAAAAAAAAGTCCCGCTGGGTTTCTTGCTGGTTCTTCCCAGGACAGAGGGTTTTTTTTTCGAACCAGTGGTAAAGTAAAAAATGACTTTCAATAAGAATTACACATGTGATCAATATTGAATAAAAAGTTATTCTATTCTATTCTATTCTTATTCTACTGAGGTAGAAAGGATTATAATGGGACGGAAAGAAACTTTAAAAAAATTAAATGCTTATTTACCAAGTGCTCTGCGATCAAGGCAAATATTCTGAGGAAACCTGTACTTTACTTTAACTGTTCTTAAACAGTACTTTTCTTTACTTTAAAACCTAAGGGTAATTTTTGTTAAAAATAAAAAGTTCGTATTTCATTATTTGAATTTAAAAGCATTTGTACCAGTTTTTATACATAAAAAAATATTTTTTCTACATACAAATTTGTGCATCCAAATGGGTAATCATTTACTTTTTACAGAGTACCTACTTCCAGTAGATTTCTATTTCCCTAATTACTTCTTAGTTGATAGCGTAAGTCATAAAAGGCAAAGAACTAAGTATTATCCAAATAGCAGATTTCTATGTTTAGCGGTTTGGGCTGTGCGTGCGACAGATGAGTCAGTCACTCAGGATCTTGGATAAACTATGATATGGACATCTTCTTTTATGTATAAAAGTAAGTAAAGTTACAGCCTATATACGTCCTACTGCTGGTCACAGGCCTCCTCTCATTTCTGAGAGGGTTATAGGGCAAGGAAATGTCCGCCGCGCTGCCCCAATGCCTGTTGGCAAACTTCACATGCCTTCGAAAATATTTTTTTCTTTTTCCCAGACATGCAGGTTTCCTCACGATGTTTTCCTTCTACGGCGGTAAATCAACTCTTAAAATTGCAATTAACAATTTCATTGGTGCCGGCGGGGATCGAACCCGGGTTGCTCGCGCATTGTGAAATTTACCGCGAGAGCTAACCATCTGAGGTACCACGGCTTTTTATATATATATATATCTATAGATATTTATATGCTTATCATCTATTTATTAAAATTAGATTTTTGATATTGTAACAAATTGACAATATATCCATTCATTACAGCATATAAAAGTCCACTGCTAAACATAGGCCTGCCATATTAGGATTACATAAACATAGGATTGCCTCATGTAGGGATTTTACCATAGTTGCTACGCTAGGCAAGCAGGTTTTCAACCGCAGTTTTTTATTATATTGAGTTGTTATCACCAAGATGCTCTCATCCTTCCGTTTCAGTTTCCCTGTGTCGCCTCTTACGACACCCTCGGGACGATATGGGGTAGTGGATATTCTTACACCAACACTACACGTTTATACCGCAACTACAATAAATTGACATTAATATGACATAATTAATCAACAATTTTTATAGTAACAATTAATTTAATTAATAAATATTAGGTATAATCAAGACTTGAATATTATTTTATTTTAAATGCACAAGTTGGACATTTTAACATATAAATTATTATTGAATAACACACATTTTATAATATATTATTGGTAACTTTAGAGATTTATTAATATGTCATCTCTAAGATTTGTTCTACCATGATGGTTTTTTAATAAAATTATTACAAGTATGCAAGTGCCTATATATTTGCATATTATATTTGTTGTTCTTATGTATCCTTAATTATGCCGTGAGACGAAAACGTCGTTCGATCGGTTTTATAATTGAAACTAGTACCTACAAGTGTCTCTCGAAATCACAAAATTATGAGAAGTCAATTGCCCAGTAGTGATGAGTATAAAAGGCTCTTTTTAATTAATATTATTTGTAAAACATACTGCAGAGCTGCTCCAGACGTGCGGCGTCTCGCTGCCGTAGGACATCAGCGGGAAATGAATTTTGAAACCTGGCTTTACCACCACAAAGAAAAACTACAACTTTAACAGCTATGACTAGACACCACTTATTAGCAGATTCAACTGACTGAAGCTTGAACCGACCAAGTATAATGGAGTAGCAAGCTATACTAAATCAAAATAAAGAATAACTGTACTGCATCCCTCGAATCCTGTATACGCAATTATTAATTTCACCGCCATCGCAATTTCATCTCTATGCATCTGTATTTAAGGCTCATATTTAAGAAATTATACATCAAAGCGAGCTAGCATAATGTGAACACCAGATTTCCCTCTCACGATTGGCCGACGGAAGGGTGGCTGAGATTTAGAATTGTTGATTGGCTACAACAGGTGTAGTAGGCGGAGATATCGACTTCTGAAACTGCTTGAATACTATGTATCTATGTATTTATAAATTTGTTAATCCGCCCGACGAAATGGTTTTACAGATATTAAAAAAAAAACTTATTTTATTTTATTCGGTGTATATTATTAGGCATTTGTAGGTTTGTCCTATTAATATCTATTTTTGTTGATAAGTAGATTTCTTTATGCATATTTTTCCTTGCAGATGAAAGCCATAGGAGCAATTTATTATTTTTATTTTTAGCTATTTTAATAGTATAGTTGTAGCACGAATGTGTCGGCTCGACCGAGGAAAGACCACGCTCTCACAGAATACCAGCATAAAATAGCGGCTTAATGCTTGTGTGTTTTATAAGTGAGTGTAGAGAACCGGAGACCATTTTTACTGGAAAAGAGGCATTCCATTCTTAGAACCACGGCTGACAATGCATCTGCATTTTGATTCGTGGGCGGAGATAGATGTCTGTGGGCCACAGCAACCACTTACCATCAGGTGGACTGTGTGCTCGCTTGTCACCCTATCCTATAAAAAAGAAGCAAAGGAGTCTCTTATGCCCAAATATTCAAACGCTGCTCAATTTTAAGACGCCGTTAAGTTTCGTGCTGTCTCTACTTCACTGTCTCACTTTGCCGAGGGCTGCGGGTACCAACCCCGCACGGAACAAGTATTTGTATGGCCTAGAAATAATTGTTCCGGGTCTGGGTGTTTGTCCTTGCGCAATTTATGTATGTAAACTGCTTCCACGACGCAGTAGAAAAACCTATGTACACAAATACAAAAATAGATTTATTCAAAATGATGTGCTCTATAAACACTAGGAACGATTATATTGCTAATCGATGTTGTTTAAAGAAATGTTCCGCTGGCTTTCTTGCTGGTTTTTTCCAGGTCTGAGTTTTTTTCGAACCAGTGATAAAGCTTAAAGGGGCTTTAATAAGCATTCTTGTCATTAAATAAAACTACTTTTAGGCATTATAACGCGTTTAATTTAACTTATTTTTAATTCCCGGTGTTTCGGGTGCTTTATAACACCCATGGTGATGGGGGGTGAGGGGGCTGAGTTAATTGACATCCCGATGTCATAGTTAGCCTTCAGTTTTTGAATAATAATTTTTGGTCCGATCTACGCAGAACGAGCTTACAGTACCTACCTACTCCGGGAAGTTTGGAGTCTGTGAACATGCTTAAAATCGTCCCCGCCTTTACATCACATTTGATTTGACCACAAATTTTCGCAAAAGAACAACGATCCCTACCAACAACTAATCGCTGTGCTTTTCAAATAAAAAAAAAACAAATTAGTAAAAATATAAATCTATTTTTACTATAAAACAAAACTCTAACACGACGTCTGTCTGAACATGCATCACGCAAAAACCTGTGAACTGATTTGGATGGGACTTTCACTGACAGATAGCTGATATAATAAGGAGTAACTTAGGTTACTTTTATTTTAATAAGAGAATCAGGATTCCGCGAAAGAAATTAAAACCCTTGAAATCCAATAGCAACAAATTCCACGCGGGCGAAGTCACGCGGTACAACTTGTATATAATATAAATATAGATGGATGCTACTATCTGCTTGGGATCGTATACCTAATTAATAAAATTAAAAAAAATTAAATCCAAACCTAAGCATATCACTGCAAGTCTTCGTAGATGAGACTACAAATTAATATTCAATAATTTAAAATCAAAAATTTTGTACAGCCGACTTCAATATAAGTTATTAAGAATAACTCAAAAACTATTGGTTTGACCTTGATCAAATTCATATGGGACCACACGAGAAGTATCAGCTTTCATATGAAAAAAGAATCATCGAAATCAGTTCACCCAGTAAAAAGTTATGGGGTAACACACATAAACAAAATACAGTCGAATTGAGTACCGTCTCCTATTTGGAAGTCGGCAGAAAAACTGAAGGTATCCGAGTTAAATATAGTATCGGGAAGAATGGCATAAGAAATCATTATGTACTTAGCATTCTTGTAACCTGGATAAAATAATTCTATTCGATGCTTTTCTATTAAACAACTAGAAAAAATACTATAAGTTCATACTGCGTAGATCGAAACAAAAATTTATAATTTTAATCCGAAAGTAAGTCGTGGTTATCTATGACATTGGGACATCGAACACCTCAGACCCCAGACCCCGCCCCGTGACTATGTGTGCTGTAAAGTGCTTGAAACGTCGCGAATATAAAATAAGTTAATATACGCTATAACTAGCTTTATTTCAACGTATTAATGTTTTTAATGGAAACATTGCACCCACCTCCCATTTAAGTAATTTCTGCTGAATCCTGGAGGCATTTTTCGTACATAAATTTTTCCCGGCCCGCAGAAACAGAATGCCAAATACAATACTAAATGAAGTGGCTGAAAAAAACACAACGCAGTGTTTTTTTTTTTAATAACGCGGCCCGAAAGCACACTTTTATCCAAAGGTTTTATGTCTGTCGTAGTCAGCTCAAGGGCTGGGATGCTCACCTTAAGTTATAAAGTACAAAAGCAACTTCTAAATTTATAAATAAATGATAATTTCTCTCATCTGCCATCATCTGGATCTGGCATCAATATACAAAGCAGAGAAAAAGTACAAGTACCTATATTAAATTATATTGTCAAACGAATGATTCTTGAATCTAGACAACAGCGCCACCTACCGGGTCTAATTGTGAATCTAAACCATCCAGGGAGAGCATCCATCTCAAACAAACACACACATAAATTTCATCAAAATCGGTCCAACCTTTTATTTCAGTGGCAAACACCTACAGAAGAATTATATATACCTATAAAGATTAATAATAGGTGCTTACCTATGAAATTGCCGTTCTGCAGTACTGGCCATTTCAAAGGAAGTTGGGGGTGTTTCACCCCCGAAGCATGTAAAGCTGCTGGTCTGGCTCTCAGGTCGTGTTGGATTGCCGTCCCTTCGGACTACGAGAATATAATAATAGACAGTTCACTTGTGCATTGTTCTTTGATACTGGCCATCTGCACACGACTCGAATCCGTTTCGAAATGCCGTTTATCATCATCATAATTGAAATAAAAATGCCAGTTAGCGCAGTTAAAAGCTGTGTAAAAACAATACAAGACAAGTAATACACTGGCATCACATACTATTACTAAATATCATATAATTATTAAGTAGTCAATACATTCAATGATATTGAGTTGCCACATCCAAAAAGGTATTATTTTTGTAGTGCCAGTACCTAGTTTAAGCGCAGGAGAGATCTAAAGCCATTGGGCTTCTATTTTCAATCAATCAATTTATTAAAAAAAGCTGTTTAATCTTTGCAACATTTATAGTTTATTTTTGTTAAGCAGCATTGGTGTGGCGACCGGGAAAGTAGGTTTTACGGATTAATATAGTGACGTTTTGTATTTGTACTGAACAAGGCAAGTCGCATTGTATACCTTGTATGTAAATGTTTTTAAAGGCAGCCACAAGTAGTTTAGGTAAGATATATTTCTGTTCAAGTGTAAATGTATCATATAAGAGTTTTTCTAAATGTAAATTTAAAAAAATTTTTAGTGACGAGTATCCACAATAGGTTCTAAAATGTGGGTATTCTTAAAATCATAATCATTGTGCGTATAAATACGCATCATGTAATGGTAATGGTCCGTGTTTGGGCTAAACATAAGTAAGTCATAATTTCTACTTTTTTTATATGATCGGGTGACAAACGAGCACACAGTCCACCTGATGGTAAGTGGTTACTGTGACCCATAGACATCTACATCTATCCTCAATAAAGACTCAAGATGCAGATGCGTTGTCACCCGTGAGGACTAAGATGGAATGCCTCTTTGCCAGCAAAAAGGGTCTCCGGTTCTCTACACTCACCATACGAAACACAGCAGCGTTAAGCTGCTATTTTACGCTGGTTTTCTGTGAGACTTAATTTTCGTTATTTGATCATCATCATCACTTTGTATGGTAGTAATGTAAATATTGCTTAGTCATTATAATTTGAATTATTTAGGATAAGATTAATCGTGCTTTATACAGATTTATCACTCCCGCGCTATTAAGGTAACACATTAACAGCATCGTTTTTGTAAAGTTAAGCGCGAGGTTTTGACACTAAAGTTATCTGTCAAACTTGTGACTGATAGTCATTTTACATAATACTCAAAGGAACTCATGAAATAACGATAACGTAATATGCCAGTAATCACTATATAGAAGTCAGTGTCAGTAATGTAACACACAGGGTAATTTCCCCGTAAATTGACATAACTACAAAGTGATCATAGTATTTTGTAACTATATAGGTACTGTCGTTATAATTTCATTTTTGTGTAAATAAGACAAACATATAAATCAAATCAAAATAATTTTTGTTTGGCTAAGAATTCTAATTTTAAATTAATTTTATTTTAAAAACATGGAACTATTTTTTCAATGTTAGTCATTTGTTTATTGATTAGCGTTATGTTTTCATCGCATTTGAATCTTTTTCGTCGTCATGGATACGTTAAAAATCGAGTAATTATGGAATATGAGTACCGTCGTGGCAGCATTGCGGCACAAGCGGCACGCATCATCAACAATGCTTTTTATTTATTGATTTATTTGCTTTTTAAGGG